ACATTCACACACACCCCTCTGCACGCACACACACTCTCACACACACACACCCCTCTGCACGCACCCCCCCCACACCCCTCTGCATGCACGCACTCACACTCACTCACACACACACCCTGCTCTGTGCCTTACAGAAAGGAGCGGGGGAGTACTGACAGTGAAAATGACTTTCATTTGGAATGCATCCTAGGTTTGGGGTTCAGCTCCCTCTCTTCTAGCAGAGGCTTTGTACGTGGTTGGGAGGTGGTGAAGTATGGTCCAGACACTGGTTGAGCTTTTCTCTCAACCCTGGGTCTAGGGAGCTTTTCTGTCAGACTGATGGAAATAGACTGGAAAAAAGTCAAAGTGTGGGTCACAACCGAGATCCTGTGATTCCGTAAAAGCTAAGTGGTGAGGAGAGGGGGCTTCTGATGTGTTCTGGGTCATAGGGAGAGAGCTTTCTGCAACTCAGAGTCATGGTTTACCACATAACATATAGTCAGTTGTAGAAAATTGAAAATTGATTTTTAGAGGGTTGTGAGGGTGATGAAGCTTTGTAAAAGTTTATGTGGACAGTCGTGGGAATGGTGAGTTAGAAGTTCTGGCTTCTTTCTTTTTCGGCTGTCTTGTTGACTTTAAAAAAATAAATGAGCATCAGCATCCCCGTGTGATCTTGGCTCTGTCTTTGGAATGTAAGTAAGAACCGACAGACACGTCTGGACGTTCCTTGTCCCTCTTCCCGTGCTCTGAGGAGTAAAATCTTGACCGTAAACTGTAAGGCCTCGTGTAGCGTTCTGGTCTGAACTTGAGAGCTGGAGAGTTTCGTTTCCCTTCCTGTGGGCCATGCTGGTCCGGTGTTGGTAATGGCAAGCAGGCCACAATCCCATGGCTTTAAAAAAGGGATCAAGGCACGGTGGAGCGGAGAGTTGGGCAGTTTGGGTGGAAGCCCAGGCTTCTGTGCCTCTTCATCTCCAGTTGCCGAGAGTTGTCCTGTCAACCCCCTGGTCAGGTACCACAGCTTTAGGCTGGTCCCTGCTGGAGAAGGGGTAGGGTCGGGATTCTTCACTGGACTGTCTTAGTGTGAACGAAGGGTGATGGACAGGGTCAGCCCCCGCTCATTCTTCTGGGGAGCAAATGTGTGTTAGGGGAAACTCCTTACGTGTGTTTTCCTGAAAATTTGCAGCTAAGCTTTATGGATTCATTGGACCCTCTTAAGTAGGCCTGGGGAGTCAGTACTGCCTTTAGCGGCTGTTTCTGCGGGGAAAAAATAATAACTGACATTTACTTACTTAGAGTCTGTTGTTCAGTTGCTAAGTCATGTCCGATTCTGTGACCCCATGGATACCACCCCCAGCTTCACTTTTGTCATCCTTATCTCATTCCCCACTGTGCTCACTCCTTCCCCAACCAAGTCCTCACTTCATCTGGGGTTGGGATGTATGTATGTTTTTTCCTGTTTCCAAGGCAGTGACTCAAAATCTGGCCTGTCGTGAGTCAGTTCAGTTCAGTTCAGTCCCTCAGTCGTGTCCGACTCTTTGCGACCCCATGGACGCCAGCACGCCAGGCCTCCCTGTCCATCACCAGCTCTCGGGGCTTGCTCAAACCCATATCCCTCGAGGCGGTGGTGCCATCCAGCCATCTCATCCTCTCGTCCCCTTCTCCTCCTGCCTTCAGTCTTTCCCAGCGTCAGGGTCTTTTCCAATGAGTCACTTCTCTCTGGACTGCCTGTAGACAGGCATGCAGAATTAGTCCTCAGGCCTGCGGGAAGTGAACGGTTTAAGCCGTAAAGTTGCGCGTGTAGGAGTCCTCAGCAGAGCACAGTCACGTGTGACTGTGAGGTTTTCTTCTGCCAGGAAAGAATGTGTTTTTATGTTAAATAGCATTGGGTGGCCTAAGGGATTCTAGCCACAGCTGCATTCCAGAGACAGTTCAGAGCCATGGCTGGTAATGACATCACCACCGCAGGTGCCAGATCATTTTTTTTTTTTTCCAATATAGCCTGCCCACGCCTTTTTTTCTTAAAGGATGTTTAAGTCCTACTCTGAGGATTTGTTGCAGAATAAGTATGAAATCCAATTCTGGGTGTGTGTGTGTATGTGTGTAGGTAGAGAGATGAAAATAAAGTGCTTCTGGAAGATCACGCAGTCCCAGAAATTCCAGTTTTAGGTTACTTGCGTTCAATCCCTCCCAGGAGATTTTTGATGGGGAAGGGTGGGATGGAGGAGGGGGTTCAGACTAGACGAGAAAAGTAGCTGTGTAAAAACAGGGTTGAGGGGCTTCCTCCCTCTACTCTCCCCCGATCCAGGACTGGCCTGGAGTGTTTCCAAGAGAACTCTGATTTCCAGTGTATTTCACAGAGGCCGAAGAGCTCTGATTCCAAATGTCAAGCTTGGATTCAAGGGATTGGATTTGTTTTTTTTTTTTTCTCATGATAAATTTCTGTGTTTGTTGAATAAAGCTTGCAATATAGAGAAACATAAATAGTAGAAGGCAGCCTCATTCCTACTTTAAGACATAATTTCTTTATATTATATTTTCATTTTGTATAAAATGCATTTGGAGGTGACAGAATACATTGAGGTTATAGGAGGAACCCTTCAGTAAATGCACATTTATGTACATTTCACAAGTAGGGCTCGTACTGTGGTTTTGATGTTTATTTTCATTTAACTTTGTGTCCGGTTTGCCTTGCCAAGTAGTTTTTTTTAGAATGCAGAATTTTAGAACTGTGAGGTACTTTAACAGATAATGAATCCTCCCTGTATTTCATAGATTAGGTAATTTAATAAATTGAAGTTAAATGACTTGCTCTAAATTCTCGTTACTTTCAGAACTGGAATTAGAACTGGTTCCATCTATTCCAGTATACTTTTAACTGTCCCATGCTGCCTGTTTTATTTACTGGCAAAAATTTGTGAATAATTATCTCTAGGATAAATTATAGAGATTGTTGCCCCAGATAATTTAATCCATCTCACTCTAACTTTGAGTATGAAAAAAAGTGAAACTTTGAGACTACTCAAACACACTTGTGTAGTTAAATTAATTTGCCCCAAGTGATTTGGAGACGTTAGAAACCGTTATGAGATGACTGGATTGTTTCTTTTTTAGGGTTATTTGATTTGAACCTGAAAGAAGTGAAGTTTAAAAATGTATGCTTTACACTTAGCACAAGCATATTTGAAGTGTTTCTTTCTGTCATGTTAAAACCAATAAATCTCTTCAAACTTTTTAGTGGTCTTGCCAAACTGTTAATTATCATCTCCTTTGCCAAATTTCCTCTACTCTGAAATTCTCTTTTCCTTATTTTGCTGAATTCCCATAGGAGTTCTTGGCTGTGTAATTCCTTTGGCAACTACTCACATAGTCTTAGGCATTTCTTCTACTGTTGTCTTGAAACAGTAACATTTTGTGAACTTTCCATGAGATTGTGTGCATGAGACTCTTGGCTTCTCAAGGACAGGATGTTGTCTTGTCATTTTCCTTCCTTCCACTTCACTCCCCTTCTCCTTGCCTCCTCTCCATAGTCCTAGCAGAGCACCTATGTGCTCACTCTATTATTATTATAACTTGTTAAAAAAGTTCTAAGCACATTTAGGGCAAATCCGAGAACACGGCCTCCTCTCTGTGAGTTTGGTAGTCCTGCTGGTAGCGCTGATATCAGGAACATCTCTGCAGAAAAAGCAAGTCTAGTATGATTTGCACATTGTTTTGTTCAACAAGTAGTTAGATGTCCTTCTTGAGGCAGTTGTTATGGATTCATACAATACTGGCACACACAGCCTCAGACTCACCCTCACCTCTGTTTGAACTTAGGCTGGAAGAAACTGTATAAAACAGCTGATGGGTGGGCTGCTGCAGGGCTGTCTGAGAAATAGGTGACAGAGAATCCTCAGTTTTTGTTTTTCTTGGAAAAATTCCTCCACAGGAAGTCTTCAGCATGTTTCAAATTCTGCATCTTGAAGAACTTAAGATTTTGTACATTTCTGAACTTTCTGTATCTTGAGGGAAGAAATGGAAGGTGGGATGAGGGGCGTGAAGAAACTTAGTGTTGAAGTCTCAGGAGTAGGAAGTGGAGAAGAAAGGGAATAATGGCCAGGATACATTTGTGGGTAGAGGCAGAAGGAAAGAGTGAGAATGGAAAGAGATCGAGAAATAAGGATAAATAGCCAACTATTAGGGTGGGGACAAAAATCTGAATGTCATTTGGCAAAGATGCTTTTACTTTTGGTTTCTTCCCAAAACTTTTTCAAATGATTGCCGTGGGTGGGGAAACTCCACTAGAGATGACAGTGTAAGTGTTGGATGAGGAATATGACAGAAATAGCTTGAGTGACTGAAGTAGGAAGAAACAGAATTAAGAAACTTCTTTTTTTTTTTCTAGCAGTGCTCTGCATTTCTTATAATACTATGCTTTAATGTATTCCAAAAAGTTTTTCAGTATCGTATGAAGAGTCTCATTTTTTATCAACTCCTTTTTTCCTGCGGGGTTGCTTGCTTTAGAATAGGTGTCGAGCCTGCCCCCTCTTTCAGCTTGTTCACCATGGGAAACTGTCAGGACACAGATGTGCTGCCAAAGGAGACTGATTCCAAGAGTTGACCGCAGGACAACAGCCACATCATTCTAGGGACCCGGTACATGTGTGTGATGTTTATGTGCACACACATGTGTTCTTTTCCCTTGAAGAAGTCTCATGATGCTAGAATGTGATCTTATTTCTTTTGAAGTCTTTTTTTTTATTCATTATTTTTAAGTAATAATGGCTCTGCATACTCTCCAGGCTATTGGGAATTGTTTTTCCGTATGTTTCTGTTCGGGTCAGTGAAAAGAGGAAATTAATTTAGGAATGAATTTTATGATTGGAAAAGGAACACTGCCTCCTAAAAAGATATTTATGTTTACCATTGGGTTCTAGTATCAGTCGCATTATTTCCTGACCCGGGGCTGGGCTGCGCCTGACATAAGCGTTAGGAACTGAATTGTGTCAGCACTGCTCCTTAAGGCGTTTATCTTAATCCAGGCGTCCTTGGATTGTGCCCACGAGCACAGTGGTGGCGGTGATCGCAGAGCTGGGCTGCTGGTGTGAGCTCCGAGGAGCGCAGTGATCACCCGGTGAATCCAGCCCCGGTGAACGTGAGTTGGTGTTTTTCTTTAGATGCTTTATTTTGATCACATGAGGGGTCGTGGTTTTTAAGTTGCTTCTGTTGGACTGATCAGTTGGACTGATTAGCCCTGAATTCTGTCTCACGGGGCCCTGTTATGCAGCTAAAGTAAGTAGAGGAGGATGGCCAGTGAGTTACCAGCCGCAGAGCTGGTTGCGGCATGGTCCAGATTTGGGTGTTTGGGTTGGCCAGCTTTCCTGGAAGATAAGCTTATGTTGTATTTACATAGCTACGTCCTGAAAGTTCTGTGTAATTGTACAGTTGTATTTGAGTGTTCCAGAAGAATTAAATAGTGCATCTCCTGTCTGTGGCTGTGGCTGTGAGCCGCAGCTGCTGCGTTCCTGCCGTTCCCCCGCACTTTTCCCTTGTTCCTGCTTTCTCCTGTGATCTTCTGTGTTACCCTGAGTGGAGAAAGGAGCAAAATCCTCCATACTTTTCTCTGGTGAATGCTGTGCACGAAGGAGAGATTACAGAAATGCTGTGGTTAAAAAAAAAAAAAAGCCACGAGTCTGCATTTTTGTACTGTTTTTATACCTGTGGGGAACTGGAAGTTTTGAAGTGTGAGGTACACTGGGAAAAGAAAAACCCAAGAGGAAAACGTGTTTGGGAAAAACAACCTGGCCGGGAAGTTAGGTTTCTGCCTTTTCTTACAATATTCTTTAAAAAGATAAAAATTGCCTCACTTAGCTCAGAATTTCTTAGATTCTCTTGTGTCTGTGATGCAAAGGATTGGCTACATTATTTTTTCAGGCCCCTCCCAGACTCATGATTCAGGAGGACTGTATATCCCCAAACATATTGTCGTAGGACTTATTTCAGAGCCATTTCTGTTTTCTTCTTGCTTCTCTTAGAATTCAATACCTTTTTATAGGTGATGATCCTTTAGGTCATTCTTAACCCACGAGAACCAATCATATAGGTGAAGATAGTTGTTTCACACTCCTCACATTGTCCTTATATGAATCTTAAAAGATGGCATGACATTTCTTTTTATACATGTGCCAAAATAGTGTTTATTCTATTAGAGGGCCCTTTAATTTAATATTAGGCTTACTTTATTGAATCATTAAGGTGATTATCTTGGATAATAGAAAAATAAGATGACAGTGCCAGGAATTGTCTGAAAAAACAGGTGCACAGTCTGTTTTTTAAAAAATGTTTTCTTATAATCTCATCTCTTTCTCCTCAAACGTACTAAGCATAACTTTGTGCAAAGTAGTGTGTGTTCTGCTTTGGGGGATGCAGAGATAAGACAGACTTGTTAAGTATGGTGGCTGAGATGTGCTCTTAGGGCCGGTACTACAGGAAGTGCAGAGCTCTGGAAGGGGGTAAGGGAGTGTTGTGGGCACTTTGAGGAGAGAGTGATGGCCGTCTTTGGACAGGGCGTAGCTGGTGGCTGGATTTTGCCTGATGGTGGTGGTTGTGATGTGCATGCTTCTTGGCTTGCTCACTTCTGAGAAGAAGCTGGAGAAGTAAGCCTGGAGACTCCTGGCTTTTTCCTCCCTCAAGACCAGAAATCATCATGCATCCTACTGAGCAGAGAAGTTAGAAAGGAGGGTGTGGCCAGAGCCTAGAAGACTGCATTTCAGGTGGAAGAATTTGGGTTTTCTTTCTGCAGTTACTGAGGTTTTCCAAATAGGTGAAGTGATGTGATCAGAGCTGGAGTGTAGGAAGAAGAGGTGGATAGAGAGTCACAGTAGGGCTAACAAATTTACGAGAAAATGTTAGTTATGAGAAAATTTTACCTGTTGGTAACTTATTTACTGGTTTTACTGACTTGAATCAGAGTCTACCTCTTGTTTTTTTCCTACAGTACAAAAGTCATCAAATTGTTTTTTTAGCGCACTCTCCACTGAAGATAACTAAGTATATACCCTTCAGATAAAAGTGAGAAACTATCAATTTGTCTTCCTTGTGATCTTTTTCCATTAAATATATTCAGCTATTTACTGTATTTTGTAATTAACCTTGACTCCTGGCATTCTCTCACAACTTTTTTTTTTCACTGAAGGCATTTCTTAAGTCCTTTTCATATAAGTGTTTTAAAGACATTACATGATTGAGTGGGTATATCACCACTTCACCTCCACCTCCATTTAATAAGCCTTTAGTTCCATTGTAGTATGCTGTTTTAGGAATTTTCTTGTCCTGTTTTTGACAATAGTTTGTCTGTAATCCTTGTGAACATTGTTTGGTGTTGATAGCTTGCAAGTCAAAGTATCTTGGAAAGAAAGTCAAAGTCTTGTAGCTACTGAGTGAAAGAGTTAGAGTTGAAACTCAGATCTGCCTGTTGCTGAATCACTTTGTATCTGCAAGTCTGTTTCCTTATCTATAAAATGCAGGCATTGATAGTACATTTCTAATAGAGTGCTCATGGGAAATGAAGTGAAACGATCCATGTGCTGGCATGGATTGTTTGTAAGCCATCTTCTAAACAACATAGATGCATGGTATTTGTGAATCTAAAACAGTTAATTGATTCAGCCGATAAGTAATTTCACATTTTGAATTTTAAAGGTAATTTTCTTTTCAAATTTAATGAAATCACCCAACTTTTAAAACCTCAAGCCCTCTTTTAATTTTGTGTACTGTAACACGTGAAACTTGTGTTCTCAATAGTTTCTTTTAATTCTTCCCCACAGACTGTCATTCTACACTTTGAGCTCTGTTTTGTGTTAATTTTTGCTGCCTTTCCCCCCTGAAATGCAATAGTCCTGTAGTGTCCTGGTGGAAACATTGTTCTCTTTGTTTGGGCTAAAGAAGTGCCTTTGTCATTCCTTTGAGACGTTCTGCAGATGCCATTTTGCAGTTCCGAAAAATATGTCTCTGTCCTCCTTCTGCTGTGTTATATTGTGTGTGTGTATGGCTTGGTATTTTAATGAAGTTGTAGTGAAAACTTGACAGTGATAACTTGTCACGTGATGATAAAACATAAGGCTCTTTCTTGACTGTAGATATGTGGTCCCCATCTCTCCATAGCGTTGTGTGGTCCAAAAGTAGATCGTCCTTTATTCAGAGATTTGATGCTTTTTGACTAACTTCATAGAAAACTGTTAAAACAGCTTCTTCGAACAGGTACTGCTTTTTAAAGATCTCTTAATTTATATGTTCTTAATAGCATTTTAAGTGGCAAGTATCCCCTCTAATTTGCTAAGTGGCTTTAATCCTTGTACTAAGAAGTGGGGGCAAAAATCTTTTGGGAAATTGCCCTGATAAAATCCAGGAAATTCCTTTCATTCTTTTAAATCCAGTTAAAATCGAACTTTTAAAAAAGGCCTCTGATGTGGCAGTGTCTGCAAGCATGTGCTTCTTGGAGTCCAGCGATTTCTTGTGGATAGTGCCAAGCTCGAAGGGGAATGGCATGAATGTATCTCTGTGTCTCAGGTAGATCTGTACCCCGTGGCACACAGCCGGGTTCTCATGACTCTGCTGGGACTTGGCCATCTTGTTGTACTGCTTTTAAAACGGCTAAAGGAGGGGTACAGAAATGAAGGGGGAAAACTCACATCTCTTTGTTTTAGTGGATTTTAGTTTATTAAAACATTTCTTAATTATTATATATTTAGTGGGAAAAGCTTGTTAATATAGAAAAATACAAATAAAGCAAAATTTCCCATTGTCCACATTCAGAAACAGCAATTGTTACCATTAGAGCTGACCATTTCCAGGGTTTTATCTGTTAATTTACATATGAGGTAGAGCAATAGCACTATCCTTTTAAACGTGCTTGTTTGCCCTTGGCAAATGTATATCTAAATTCTTCTTCTGTAAACTGAAATATAGTTGATTTACAATGTTGTTAGTTTCTGGAGAAGGACATGGCAAATTCCATGGACAGAAGAGCCTGGTGGGCTACAGTCCATGGGGTCACAAAGAGCCGGCCATGACTGAGCACATCAGTAGCACATTGTTAGTTTCAAGTGTATAGCAAAGTAATTCGATTATATATATCTATATTATTTTTCAATTAGAGTTCATTACAGGATACTGAATATAATTCTCTACACTATATAGTAAAGCCTTGTTTTTCTCTTTGATATATGGTAGTGTGCATCTGTTGGTCCCATACTACCAATTTATTCCTCTTTCCCTTTCCTTTTGGTGACCTTGAGTTTATTTTCTGTATCTGTAAATTCTTAAGATAGTAGTGCTTAATTTTGGAAATGTTACTCCATAGGGCATTCATTCATTAGATGGACTCACTTAAAAGTTCTCAACTAGTAGAAAGTGTATACATTTATTGCCTAAAGATACATGAGTCAGAAAAGGATAGGCTAATCATTTTGGATGTTTTCCAGGATCATAAAAGCATAATAGGTCTATATTAGAACTGTTAAGAAGCCTTTGAAACAAGTAAAGATCCTATCACATAAGCCCTGGCTCGTCTTGGACAGCTGGCTCATTGATTTCCAACAAGAGCTGATTCTGTGGTGGCCTGACTCCTGTCATCTGGGGCAGAGGTACCCCAGGATTACAGTGTTTGTATATGTCTAGCCATCAGCTGGGCTGGTTTTAGACAGGGATACCAAGCCCTGTGTCATGCCATCCCATCTGTTTCTTTTAGAGATAAGTACGCAGTTGGTATGGGACAGATCCTGTTACACTAAACTCCATGGCAGAAATAAACTTCCCAGGTGGCTCAGTGGTAAAGAATCTGCCTGACGGTGCAGGAGACACAGAAAACTCCAATTCGATCCCTGAGTCGGGAAGATGCCTTGGAGGAGGACATGGTAACCCATGCCAGTATTCTTGCCTGGAGAATCCCCTGGACAGAGGGGCATGGTGGGCTGCAGTCCATGGGGTCGCAAGGAATTGGACACGACTGAGCGACGAAACAACATCAGCAACATTAAAGGTTGAGGTGAGAGGAGATCCTCCCCAGGGGATTGGTGGATGCTTCGACCAGTCTTCTTCCAGAATAGAAAAGCACCATAAGCCTGGCTCTTATTACTCTAGGGTCCAGTGGGAAGA